TGGAACACAGGGTTGATTCACTAGCAGGACAGCATTTTGAGGACAGTGTTTTCAGAAAATGACTGCTTCCGAGAGTGATGTGTTGCAATACAAACTGAGATGAAAACAGGTGTGCAGTTCTCTCATTCGAACACAATTAGGACATCATTATATGGAGACGGGATTCTGTTTACGGCCAAAAGCATGTGGGGTCTGGACACTCCATCGGCCATCAAAGATAGCGCATTCCCCACAGAATTGGTTCATTCGCTATTTGCGTTGGTTGCTCTTTTGTTCACCTTTGTCCCGGCATCTAATGAGTCCTGTTTGATAATACTTTTTCAGTCAATATTCAATCTAAAGCAATTTGATACAAGTTAGTGATACTGTCTCTCTCCCCACTGTTGGCGCTGATTAGGCCAGACTCATTTTATTGATCTGCCATTCGTTCTCTGATCCACCGCACAGGTACATGTATCTCCTCCAATTGCACTGGGCATGGAGTTTGTACAGACGGCACGTGTCGCTGTTTCAGCGGTTGGTCCGGAGCGGCTTGTGACATTCCCGTTCCAGTGATGCACACGGCCAGTTTGAATTCGGCCGCGTTTAGCACAGAACGAGACGCGATGGGCAGTCATCCTCCCGGGACGAACCGACCAACCACGAGCAGCGGAAGCAGTCGTGGTGGCTCGGATTCCACTCGAGCTCAGTTGGATGAACGTGTTTTGAAATGTGAGACATATCACTTAATGTGCTCTGCACTGTGTTCTTATCCCTCATGTCCAACAATACATATCAAATACGAGTCTAAGTGATATTCAAAAGTGGCCAAAATTCAACATTGGACGCTATCCCCCCAGAGTCAGACTTATCAACAAGCCCTCACGGTGCATCCCTTTTTTGACGAGTTTCTATTTCACTTGCTCCGAATGTGGATTCCGTTGAATGACTGTCTGCTTACGTAGATCATTGGGATTCGGTTGAAACCAGACGACCTTGCAGATTGACTGATACATAACGGAATCATCGGTTCGAAACCGGTGGCAGTTGATTTAAACTGATTAATATGCCTTATCGCTTTCCGGATTGAGATGTTGTCAAATCAGCAATGAAAGTAATCCAAAGTTTGACAAACCTAAAATTTCTGAAACCAGACAAAAGATCTGGAACGGTGATTAATATGTCCTCAAATACATTACTCTAAGTAATTCTCAGTCACTCTTGAACTGTGTGAACTTTTAAACTTTCCATTTTTGTACTGACGCTTGTCACAGTACAAAGAGATACAATCAACTGATCAGATTTTCGTGAACGATACCTAATTGACCTGCATTTACAATCGATGCTTCTCACCGGTAATGGCAGACGTTCTGTAAATAACTGAAGGCGTATAGTGAAGGTTATTTCGATGTCTGCCGAGGAATTGCCTTCCAACCCCATAACAGGAATGTGCACCAGTACCAGTGTTGAAGTTTAAATGCCCGAAGACCATCAAGGTATTTTTGGCTGATCGGCTGCCATCGAAAGGCGATTCGAGTGGGCGATGTACCTGTGTCTGTGGTGCGGAACACAAAGGAGTAATATCGTGTGGCGCGATAAAGCGTTAGCGTCCTGGACAACACAACTCAGTTTCTCTTCCTCTCGGTGGCACCGATGCATGGACCGCTCGCAGTGCGTCGTCTATCAACAGCAGTCGACCATTTCAGGACTGTCTACTGACCATCGTACAGTCAGGTCGCAGCCGTCCTCTTTTCTTTTTAGTGTCCATTCTGAACCGATGAAGTCACAGTCCGGTATTTAGAGGTTATAAGTTCGCAAGACGATTCTGCCATAGACGTCGAAATAACCTTCACTGTGCGCCTTCCGTTGGTCACAGAAAGCCTGCCATTGACAGTGACAAATACCGATTGTGAATGAAGATCAACTGAGTAGCTTTCACGGAAATCACATTTGGTTGTATCTCTTTCTATTGTGACAATTGTGAGTACAAAAGGAGACGATTAAGCGGACTTGTGAGTGTTTTTATCCCGGGAATCGGAGAGTTGTCAGTTTCTGCAGCGACGATGTTTTTTATCACTTTTTTCTCCCGTAGCCATTCGCTTTCGATAACAATAATAATAATTTTGAAGTTGATCATTTCATCTTTTGATCCATCTGTTTCAGCTTGATATGACATTCCACTTGTTGCCTCTTTAATCAGCCTGTTCAACTTTTGACTATTCTTTAATCTGTCGCTAATTATGTCCGTTAAGTATTAGTTAATTTCGTCTCTTCCACAAACTGTTCATCGCAACTCTTTGCTGGGTTGCACGATTGATGGTCTACTTAATCGCACCAGGCCGCTCCAAAATCAATCAATCAATCAACCACTCGATCAATCAATCAGTCATATCAATCAAACAAGCAATTTATCATTCATCATGAAAATATTTTTTTTCAACTGACACGTTGTTCTACAACTAGTCAATTAGATAATTATTATTCAACCGGTTTTCTGTCCGCCAATTTCGCAGCTTGTGATCTGGATTGTGGCTCCCATGCGCAATGCGTGTTGAATAAGGCCGATCAACCCTTGTGTCAGTGTGAACCGGGCTGGTCCGGATTGTTGTGTGATCGGAAACTGTGCGATCCGCGTTGTTTTGACCACGGTCACTGTTCAAACGGGACCTGTGTGTGCCAGGTCGGGTGGAATGGAAAACATTGTACTCTGGGTAAGTGTTTTTATGCGTAGCGGAGACTTTCAGAAGCAAGTTGTTGAAATTTGTAAGTGGCATGTTGCTGGATGCACGGGCCGTCCTTCAGCTGCAACGCGCATATCTGATTTCCTGTTCAAAACAATTTCCCTCCAAAGATCAGAATGAACAGAACACTTGGAAATTTATATATCGTCCGGAATCTTCACCAGCGCAGATCAAACGAGGTTTTCCCCAATAACCATTGTGTCAAATCCATCAGAAATCTGTTCAACATAGAATAGGGAGTGCCAAATTCACACTTAAAAGAACTAGGATGGGAATATGACGTTTTAACAACAGATAGTCAATGATGGGCTACTCACTCATATGCCACGTGACGTGCTTTGGTCAAGAAAGCCCATGTGAACGTATGGGTTCACCACCGACGGTAATCACTATTGTCAACTCGTACCAATACTATAATATGGATAACCGGAGCTTTAGTGTTTCACTTTCTGAAGACCAGTGCTGTATTGAGCAGAACGATTTAATTACGAACAACAGTAAGGGTATGGATAAATTGGCGTACATACAACAAGATGTCTAATTGGGAACTTGTCATCAAAACTCCGTCAAACGTACAGGATACAATAATTCATTTTAGGTGGTCTTGCTAATTTTTGACCGTTGTGAGAAACCGCCAGTCGTGTTCTTTTGCGCAATCCAACCATACCATACTACTCGCACATGTGAGTAGGGCCTCACAACACTAGAAGTAGCAAAAAGGCTTTAATTAAAATCCCGGACTATGACTATGGTCGTAATAGTGATAATGTGATGACTCATCCAGGGGCTAATTTAGGGCGTTATCCGGATACATGTTAGTCACTTGCCTGACCATTCTCCTGTTGTGTTAATATTCACACGGTGACGCATAATCTAGTGTGTCCATTGACTCACAGTTAAACCTCGAGCATGAATTTGTTCCGCCAATCCCCTGACTTTCTTCTTGACCGAATAGTCGTCTAGTATGCAATAGACAGTGGCTGCAAACTATACGATAATTCTAATCTCAGTAGTTCCGAGTGCTCTGATGTGTCCGGTTTCGTCATCCGATACTGAAGTTTCTATCAGTCTTTTTTCTCCATTTACCTCATAACTAAAACCGTCTCTGACAGGCAGCATTAGGGTTGGATCAACATATCTGTGTTGTCAAACGTCTGTTTTCTTCTCTTCAGCCATCCACGTGTGTGTGTGTGTGTGTGTGTGTGTGTGTGTGAATGGCACATGAATGTACATTGATGAATGAACAGTTTCATCTTGTCCTCTTCCGATTGTTTTCAATCCAATTTCTTCTCGACTTCCGGCACGCATACCTCCTCTCTCTCTCACTCGGTCATCCTTTTCGTTCACTCCTGTCTCCTTCATACACATGACGCAATACGACACGTACAGACGGATGTCCGGATCAATGCAGTGGGGTCGGACGATGCCTGGCTGATTTGGACGGTCTATACAGCTGTCACTGTCCTCCGGAACGAAAAGGCAGTGCCTGTCAGGCCAAGGTGGAATTAATCTGTGACGATCAAGAGGATAATGATGAAGGTATGCTCATATGGCATGTTGCTTCTCTTTTTCATCCTCTTTCTTTGCCTGAATACTTAATTCAGATCACTCACCTCCTACTTGCTGGGATTTAAAATCCCAGTTACGTACACTGGGATGCACTTTGGTGCCTGATCTAATTTCCCAGTTACTCTCGTTGGTACACGGTAAAGCGAATAGTCGTTACTAATTGGATTTCATCGCCCTAGTCAGGTGCTGAATGGATTTTGGATCACTTGCTTCTAAGCCAGTTCGAAATTCACCGATTCTGTTAGCTCCTCTCTTGCTGCGGCTTTGAAAAAAGCACATCTGTTGGCCGTTTCATCATCTTCCTGCATACGCCACTATGAAAACACCTTTTTATCCTCATTCCTGAAATTGAGCTACACAAACCCGTAGTTTACTCGACAGCCTATCCATTTGATTTTTTGGATTAGCTTTGAGCGTGCACATAAAAACATAGTTAGCGCAATATTAGAACATGTAAGAACATTCTCTGGATTGGTGTCCTGGAAATCGAAGTGCAAACCTATTGTATTGTATTGTGTATAACTTTTGCAAGCACTGGAGCTCACATTTCAGTTAAAAAATCATACACGTTAATCGTCACAATGTACATAGCAAACTATGAAAAAATTTCTTAGACATGAGGATATTTCATAACCCAAGGTTAAGACAAAGTCCACTTATTATCCGATCTTTGTTTATGAGTACACGAGCAAGATACGGTATAGTTGAATTGCGGTAAGCATTAATTCGAGATGAAATTTGGCGGAATTGGGAGCGTGTTGAATGACGGGAACGACATTTTTTCGGTTCTGCATGCAATGAGTGGTCAGGATCTGTGAGAATCCTCTCAGCAAATCTCACACAGGGAGTTACGAAATACTCTGAAAGCTTTAAAGCTAACCCATTCACAAGAATAGAAGAGACACGACTAATAATGGCTAGACCGGGGCGTAAGACTTTAAAATCCTGTTCGAGTAAGCCAGGAAAAATGACTGGGTAGCTGTAGAGTAAGGTGGGGAAAACACACTGATAAACACAGGTAGAAATAACTGACTGGGATGCACGAAACTGCCTGAGCTTTCGGATTTGAAATGATAGACGCCGTAGTTTACCAATGCATTTGTGGATGTGGGTTCACCAATGAAGATTGCTATCTATGGATACTCCAAGATATTTGACAGAGTTCACCCTGGATAAAGGATTGTTACCAAGCACTGTGGGGTCTATCGGATATGAGGAGCGAGCAAAACTATACAAACACTCAAAAAATTTACTGGGGTCCAGGGTTAGCCCCAATGAGGAGGAGAATGACTGAATTTGATCAAGATAGTCGGTGAAAGAACTTAGATCAGAGTACGAAGAAATGGGCTGGCACAACACGTCGTCTTCTGCATATTTCAAAATCGTGCGGGAGAAACAGGGAATTTCAGAAATATAAGTGGCAAATAAGTATGGTGATAGCACAGCTCCTTGAAGAACCCCGGAGTTGTTAACTAAGGTTTTCGATGTGACCTTCCCCAATCTAGTGGTTTTTACCCTATCGGTAAAATAGTTGGATAGCCAAGCTAACAACTGTTTGGGGCATTCAAACGATTCCAGTAGCAACTTAGATCGAGGAATGGAATCAAATGCAAAAGAGTAGTCGAGAAAAACACACCGATTAGACTCAACAGAGCTGTTCAAAGACTTAGTGATAAAATGAATGAGGGTGGAGACTGCGTCCAAGGTAGATCTATTAGGCTTGCAAGCAAACTGTAACGGATCACTAGGAATGTTTATAGACTGATGAAGGCGTTTGAGGATGGCCTACGGAGAACACAAAGGTTTTTATCCGTCTTCCTCCTTTTACGCCTTTTCAGTCTACCTGTCTGTTTAGATTGTCCGTGGCTTTCATTTAAAAATGCACACGCAAATAAAATCCATTCATGCTTCTTCCAGTCCTCTTTTATTACCCCTCCACGCCCCGCGCCCGTTCAAATCTCACGACACTGCCTTGCTTTGGCGAGAGCTCGTTCTGTCAGAATTCCTTTCTCCAGTCGCATCAAATATCTTGCTGCTACTACTACTACTACTACTACTACTACTACCAACCTTTGATTAACTCTTTGTTTTCCGTACCCAACCCTTTCCTTTTACCCTTTCTTCCAACCCGTAACATCCCCTCAGACAACTTGTTTGTCACTCACCAAAGTTCGTTGCCAAGTAACTCGGTAAGCAGTTTACCACAAATAGATTGAATATTCTGAAGCCTTGTCAGCCACTTAACCTGGGGGTCTTCAACGTGAGGACTCTGATGCAGGTAGGTCAACAAGCATGTCTGGCGCGTACAATGGACTCTTTGAGAATGGATGTCTGCTGCGTGTCGGAGACTCGAATCCAGGATCCTAATACTATATGCCACTTAAGTGCACCGGGGTTGTCTTCGAGGTTCTTCCTCCGCATTTCAGGTGATGACGAAGCCCTTTCAAAAGGCCAGCATGGTGTGGGCATTGTACTGAATAATACAACCGAAGCCGCACTATTCGATTGGATCCCCGTCAACAGCCACTTGTGTGCGATGCGGCTCCAAGGGTCTATCAGCGTCCGAAAGGGAGGCAACACCAAAAGGTGTTTATTTATCATTTCAGCGTATGCTCCGACTAACTGCAGTTCTGACGCACAAAAGGACGAGTTTTATGATAAAATCACCGAACTCATTCGGTTGAGTCGAAGCTACAATATGGTTATTCTCACAGGTGATGTTAACGCTCAAGTTGGAAAACTGAGCGCGTCGGAAGCTTGTCTTGGCGGTCACTGTGCTCTGCCCTGCCAGCAAACAGATAATGGCAATCGACTTCTTCAGTTCTGCGCAGATCATCATCTGTTCCCATCCAGCACCAACATCCGACACAACTCTCAACGAACAGCAACGTGGTGCTCGAATTCAGTTGGCACCCTAACTCAGATCGATCATATAGCAGTAAGTTACCGTTGGTGTGGCTCAGTACAAAACTGCAGGTCCTA